AATTTTTCTGCCCTCACAGAATTTATAATCTTGTAGGAGTTTGGCACCAGCATAGATAGCTGTAATATATAGTATCATATGATAGGGGTTATAAAACAAAGTGCTATGTAAAGCTGGATATAGAGGGGCAGGATGGAGAGAAGTTATGAAGATTACAGGTTTAGAGCCAGAAGGGATTTTAAGGACTATCTTGTCTGACTGTCCTTATTTTACCTATGGGGAAAATGAAACCCAGAAGTGAAATGACTTACCCTACAGGTAGTTAGCAGTAAAACTAGGATTCCATCTTGACTCGTTTCACTTGGGCCCCAGCGCTCTTTCTGTTGCACTATATTGTCTTTATTACTGATTGGAGGAGGGAGGTAGGGATCTGGGAAGGCTTCCCGAAGGAGGTGTCAGTTGATTTGGGCTTTTGAAGATGAGTAGGAATTCATAGTAGAGGTTTAATAGATGAAGAGAAGGTATGGTATTTTAGGCATAAGACCAAATGTGAGCAAAGTCATGTAGTTCAGAACCACAGGGCACATTTGGATGTAGACGATAGTGCAATTTGGCTGGAGCAGAGAGTGCACAGAGGGGAGTAATAAAGAAGAAAGTTTGAAAGGTAGGCTGATGCCAGGTCGTGAAGAGCTAGGAAATCACTGAAGGTTTTTGAGCAGAAAACTGGCATGACCAGACAGTGGTAGAATGGATGGAATAACACACCTGGAGTCAGGAAGACCTGAGTTCCAGTCTGTCCTCAGATACTTGCTAGCTGTGTGACTCTAGGCAATTCACCTCACATCTGTTTTCTGCAAAGCACTTAGCACAGTGCCTGGCACATAGTAAGCACTATGCAAATGATAAACTATTATTGTTATTATTATTATTATTATTATTATTATTACATATATGTAAGAAAGCAGGATTGGAGGAGGGAAATGACAGAGGCAGGAGATGAGTTAGAAGACTATTCATCAATTAATCAAGTACTTATTTAGAGCTTCCTACATGCCAGGTACTATACCAGGCACTAGGGATGAAGATGTACATATATCTTATAAGGTGATGAATATGTATTTATCTATGTATATGCATACATATACACAGATTTTTTACATATATATGTATATACACAAGTATATTTGTGTGTATATGTGTATACACACATGTATGTATGTATGTATGTATGTATGTATGTATGTATGTATGTATACACACATATGCAACTACTCCATAGTCCAGAGGTCTCTCAGCCAATCAGGAGCTACATCTCCTTCCCCATAAGCAATGTAGAGTATCCCAGGGCTATCCTATCCATCAGGGAACTGCCCAGGATCCCACTGAGTAGAGGTGCTACAAATACATACAAAAGAAGCAAGGTAATTTTCAGAGGAGTCACTGGCAGCTAGTGGTATGAGGATGTTCACATGTAGGAGGTGGCATGTGAGTTAAGCTTTGAGGAGCTTTGGGACTCTGAAGGAATCTAAGAGATTCTGAGGGATCTAAGAGGCAGCAGTGAGGGGGGACCACATTCTAGGCAGAGGCAGGAAATAGAATGTCATGTGTGAGGAAGAACAGAACAACTACTTTAGCTAGACTGGGGGATGAGTAAGGTGGGCACTGCCTAATCACCCAGGAAAGGTGGGTTGGAGCCAGGTTTGAAGGACTTTAAATGCCAAACATAGGATTTTATATTTTATTCCAGGGAGCCACTGGACTTTTTGGGTAAGTGATATGTTCAGACCTGTGCTGTAGACACATCACTTTGGCAACTGGGTGGTAGCTGGGTTTGAGAAAGGGGACACCCAAGACACTTTAAGCATGATATGGACAGGTATATAGGTTTAGGTGGGCAACCTTCTCTAAGCTTCAACTAACTTACCCTGTCTTCCTAAGATCTCTTTATTTATTATTGAAATGTGCATAGCAGGAGGGAAAGGAAGAGATATTCCCTAGGGTGAAACTCTTTACATTTGTTCAAAAGCACAAATAGTCCTTTGAACAAGGTCTGGCTTTCAGAGCTCAGCCCTAACCTATTCTGTTAGCCTGCGGGAGGAAGGTGGGTGTTGTCAGTTCTGTAGCTAGGAAAGTTTTGACCCTTGCCCTGTTCTTTTGGGGCTGAGCTGCCTCCCTCATCCCCTGCAGAGATCCCATCCTGCTTGTATTTCCCCCTCAAGTGGTTTGCAGACTGAAGCAAATACAGAAGGCTGGGCTCTGTAGCTTGGGGAAAGCTGTTCCTGACAAAGCCCCAGAGAAGCAGATAGGGCACCATGATAAATGAGAGTATTTTACAGCTATGTACAATGAGATTTGAATACTTTACCTGGACAAGATTTTCCCACCAGGCTTCACAATAGGTCTTAAAAGAGAGGGCAGGCATCATGATCCTTGGTATACTGGTCATTGGATCAAAGGACCATTGATTTAGAGCTGAAAGGGATCTTAGAGGCTGACTCCTTTATTTTACAGATGAAGAAACAGAGGCACAGAGAGGTTAAAAATGATTTGCCTAGGATTAATAATAAGTTAATAAGTGTCTAAGGTAAAAATCGAACTAAGTCTCCCTTGCTGCAAGCCCAGTGCTATTAGATCTACTTTTGGTTCCTCAGTGGGCAGACCTGAAATCCAAATAAGATGAGTGGATTTACATAAAGCAACTCTCCTTTGAATACAAAAAAGAATACTTCAGTAGCAAATAGACTTTGAGTTTACCTAATAGTGGGGAATAGTGAATAGAATACTGAATCCAGAGTCAGAAAGACCAGAGTTCAAGTCTAGCCTTAGACACTTACTAGCTATATGAACTTGGGCAAGTCAGTTAACCTGTGTCTCAGTTTCCTTGTCTATAAAATGGGGATAAAAATAGCACCTACTTCCCAGGGTTATCATGAAGATCAAGCAAAATAATTGTAAAGTGCTTAGCACAACACCTGGCACATAGTAGGTGCTATATAAATGCTAATTTTTGTTATTCACATTCATTTCTCTTTCTCAGAAAATAATAAAAAAACATATTGCATTTAAGATGGCCTTTTATACTTTTCCAAACACATTTCTATGTCTCTTCTTAAGTGATACTCACAATTCTATAAAGTTTTGTAACCTTGCCAGAACTAACCTAGAACTTTAGGTCTGGATTTTATAAAGAACTGATTAAATTCTAGGAAGTGTCCCATAATTTTTCTTTGTCTCATGCCCCCACCAAGAGTTTCTTTGGGAATCTTGGAATTTAACAAATGTCTAGGCTTCTAGAGAAAAGTGTAAAGTATCTATATAGGCCCCAATGCACACACAAGGGCTAACTAGCTAGCTAACAAACTATATATACACATGTTACATACATGCATATATGTGTATATATGCATGTATTCATACACATACATATGTGCAAACAGAATAAACCTAATCTCTCTTCCCTATGCTACTCCTTTAATCACTAGTGGTCATTTGTAGATAGCATAACTGATAGTTTTTCCAGGATGAACCAATATGAGACAACTCAGGTGCTGAGGGGAAGGAATAAAATTCTCATTTTAGAGAGGAAAATATAATAGCACCTTTCTGTGAGGATAAAATGAGATAACCTATGTAAAGTACTGTGCAAGCCTTAAAGTGTAGAGGATATCATCATTATCATCATCATCATCATCATCATCATCATCGTCATTAGTATTATATGAGCTTGGGTGGGGGAAGCACTGGGTGAAAGGGGCATTTTAACAGTAAATGGTATGCAAGAAGAATGTATCTTACTGACTGACACTTTTGCTTTTGGAGTAAAGAGCTCGAGCCCTTTTAAAAAATAGTATTTTATTTTTTTCCAATTATGCATAAAGACAATTTTAAACATTCATTCAAAAAATTTTTAGTTCCAAATTTTGTCCCTCCCTCTCTCCCCTCCTTCCTTTCTAAGACAGTAAGCAATTTGCTATAGGTTATATATGTGCAATTTCCATATTAGTCATGTTGTGAAAAAAGAAACAGACCAAAAGGAACAAAAAAAACCTGAAAAAATAAAGAATATGAAAAGAGTATGCTTCAATATGTATTCAGACTTCATCAGTACTTTCTCTGGGTGTGAGTAGCGTTTTTCATCATGAGTCCTTTGGAATTGCCTTGAATTATTATATTGCTGAGAAGGGCTAAGTCATTTTTAGTTGATCTTTGTGCAATGTTGTTACTGTGTACAATGTTCTTGCTCAGGCATGTTTAAAGAACTAAAGAACAGTATTTGGTACTTTACTTAAAAGGGCGTCAATGTACAGGAAGACCCAAGGCCAAGGCTGGTTTTCACTAGGACAGTGGATTTTATGCTGGTTATCAAGCTGAACCAGGGAAAGACTTGACTCTGTTTACCCAAGGACCAATGGAACATTTTTTAACTCATGACTTTTCATTTTCCCCGGGTGTCTGTTTACCCTGTATTTCTCTAGGAACTTAGATACTTCCCTTAGACAGAAACAAACATACATCCATAACATACTCCATGAATTCTCTGATACAGATTGACACTCTGTCTATATCAACATATCTCCTATGGGAAAAATTTGTCTTCTTTCTATTCTTTCTATCTGACACCAATTTCTTAATGTAAGATTTTGTCTATAAGATAGGATACAGAGGATGAAGGATAAAAAAAAGACAAAGTACATTTTATTTATGCTTTATCGCAAAGAAATAATGAGGGAAAGCACCTGAGGTAAGGGAAAATAAGAAGATAATATCCTATCTGATAACACAGAGAATTCTGCCAGGGAACTGGAGTAGTAAAAAGAAAATCTCATTATGAATTTGCCACGTCCCAGTTCCCTTTGGTCTCTGCACCTGCTCCCACCCATGAGTCCGTTTCATAGAAATACTGTCCAGTGTGAAGTCAACAGCTGAAGATAGCTCAAATGTCCTGGCAGCCTTGATGATGTCACAGAGGAGGGGGGCGCTCTTCCAGGCTGCGGCTGCAGCTTGCCTGTTCTGCCCTGCCCCACCCTCTCCACCCCCCTTCATGACCTCACAGACTAACCACCAAGTCCAAGAACAGAGGAGGGAACATCTCCCAGGCAACAGCAGCTGCAAGCCTCTGTGAGAAACAAGCTTAGTTTGTTCACGGTGATGGAATTAAGCTGGTGGAGTGGGGGTGTAGGAGGGGAACAAGATAGGCAGTGGGAGGGAGGGAGGGAGGAAAGGAAAAGAGAAAGACAAAAATATGACCATATTGGCTAATAAATGGAGTTGGCGCATGTTGGACCGAACGGGGAAACTGTGCAGCTCCCAGGGCTGACTGGTTTTCCTCTTCCCCTCCCCCATACCCCCCACCTTTTTTTTTTAACAGTTGTTCTCTCCACTCTCTGAAGTCCCTTGGAAACCTTCCAGTTCCCAATGAAGTTCCAATTCTTGTTAGAAATCCCCTTCTTGGGTCTTTTGCCTAGTTTCCCTTTTACTCCTGACACTGTGCTCCCCCCTCCCCGCCCCCATCCTCATTAAGTTCAACTTTGCAAAGAAAGCGGTGAGGAGAAAGGGAAAGTGAACCAGGGCTTCTTTTCTAGCCCTGCTCTCTGAGTCTGGGGCCAACAGAAGTACCCAAGACAATTCTAACAGTTGTAGTTTTAAAATTCTTTTTGCACACTGATAGAAGCAGCCCAATGCATTGAGGACAAAAGGCACGAGGATGGCAATGGCAAGAAGCGAATAACTCAACTCTGGTTTAGGATTTGAAGCCCTTTGCCTTCAGGTAAATAGCTCCATTATGGGCTTCCTAACCAAGTAATAGGGTACTTCTACATGCAGTGGGTTTGAAAACATATCCTTAAGGTAAAGAGTCAACTTGTCATTCACTGCTTTCAGATCCTCCCTATCCTAGCATGTTTTGGGTTTGAGGATTTTTTTTTGTGAGAAAAAAATGCTTTTTTCATGGGATACATATAACATTATAAACTCAAGATAGCTCATAGACAAAAAAGTTAACTCCCTGATCTGTTGTCCATCTCCTAAAAAAGTTGTATGGAACACTCAGTCAATCAAAATGAACATGTTCTTTCCCTTGAAATGTTATCTAGGTTTTTCTAAGAAGACCTCTGGACTGTCCTTAGAAGGCACTGTCAATGATTAGATGCCAGGATAAAACCTTCAGAGTCCTTTCAAATAGCAGGGGAAAAGAGAATAGGGTGGGGAAGCCATTTAAACTTGTGTTTTCTTTCCCTGTGGCTTGTGGTCTCTTCCTCTGCCTCCTAGGAAACCACCAAGATTCCTTGGCCCATTTCCAAAGTCCTCCATGACCCCACACTCTCCTCTGTCACTAAATCCTTCTTTATCGCCAATACATCCTCTGAAACCTCCTTCCAATTAAGTTTGGCTCAGTCCAGAGTGACTTTGTTTCCATCAATGTGCCCATCTTCCATGACTTCCTTGGCTTTTGCATCTTATTCTGTTTTGAAGTCCACAAAACCAAGGCCTTAAGATGACCCTATTTTCCTGTCTGTGACTATCCTTGCACCAACAAAGCCATAAAACCAATCTTTTAATATTTCTTCTGTGGTGTTTTCAGTCAGACCTTTGACAAAGTTGTGTATGACTGGCTCCACACATTAGTCCTTTTTCTATCTTTTAGGCTCCAAACTGATTGTTTCACTCTTGATTTCTATTTTGTTAAAAAGACTCTAAAGCTTCTTTTGCATCTTTAGCAGAGGAAATTTTAGTGAATGAATAACCTTTAGGGTCTGAAGCAGTTGTTTTTGGAGGATGCTGATAACTGTCCTCTTCTCAAACACTTTCTGTAGACTTTGGTAACCACTGTAGGTGAGATCATTCAACATGGGTGTTTTTGAATCTCTTGAATTTTTCTTGACCTTGACTTTTCGCTCTTGTAGTCTAGAATACTGGCCCAACCATTCTTCTCTATTCCTTGTTTCTTTTCCAAGACCTTGTTCGCTTTGGCTTCTGTCTTAAATTCAATGTAGGCAATTCTTTTGGGTATCTCATCCTGGCAGTGACTAATCTAACTTTAATAGCATCTTCAGACACTTCCTTTAGCTCCTTCTGAGTAATTTTATAAGGTAGGTTCTTGGAGGAGAAGCATCCTTGCATCTTGATCTTTCACACCTTATTTGTATTCATTTGACTTTTTCTTGTTTAATTTTGGATGAGACATTGTGTCCCAGAGATTTTTACAAGATATCAGCAAATTCAAATTCCACATAGCGAAATTTCATGATAGCTCTAATTTGGACATCCATGACAACACTGTCGTTCCCCTCCAACCCCCACCCTAAAGAAGTCAGTGATATCAGTTTTAAATTCAGAAGTGCTTTTATTCAAGTTCAGATTTCCAGCAAAGATATTTAAAACCATGGATGGTTCAACGTGCGCATGCACACACACACACACACACACACACACACACACCCACAACATTTCCTCTTCTTCCTCCTTATCTTCTTCATTTTCTGATTCTTTAGCTTTCATAGGGGCATCCTTTAGTTCCATGACTTTTTCTTTATCATTCTCACCATCCTTTTTCTCCTCATCCTCCTTTTCCTCATCCTCAGAATTTGTTTGGCTGGAGTTCCCTTCTATTTTATCACTTTGGAAGGTCCAAAATCTTCATCCTTCTCATCTTCTCTATCATCCTCCTGTTCAGATTTATTGACCTCTTTTTGGAATTTCTTTTCTTATCTTTCCTTTCCTTCCCCCCCACCCTTGTCAGGGAATATTACTACTTTAGGTGAGGTGTCTCCCTTCTTGCCTGATGTGATGACTATTCTGGTGAAGATAGACACTTTCTTGGCAGAGGAAGCTTTGGTATTCTTGCTAGGGGTCATGACTTCTTTCTGAGCAAATGTTGTGGGTCTGGCCTGGGTCAGGTCTGTCCTATGGTAGTCATTCCATAGTTAACAAAAGCCATTGCAGGAAAAAGATATTTAGCAAGGATAGCTATTTAGCAAGACATTGAGGATACTTTGAGTTGATTCAGCCCAGCAAAACTCCTTTGTCTAAGTTACCCACCGTGATCCACCATCCTAGCATGAGAATGCCTCTCCAAACTCCTTATGACCGCTTTGTACTTAGGTGAGAAAGAAGAGACGTCTCAATCCCATGACCTGGCTAAGTCTTTAGGAAGTCCTCAATACCTTTTAAAGAAAAGCTAGCCTAGGGGAGGAAGGCTCAGGATATTGCTCTTGCAGTAGGTGTGGCAACAATAGCCTTGCACTTTCTTTCCTGGAGTAGCTACAGCCTTCTTGCCTTTCTTTGAAAGTACTACAACCTCTTCTCCATTACTGTCTTCTTCATCTTCTGACATCTTCCCATTCTCACTGAATTCTATCCCTCTTGAGAGAAGAGCCATTATCTTTGGCTCACCTTGATTTCCCCTGGCTTCACCATGGTGGCAATGTTGTGGATACTATGGCTCTGTCAGGTAGGGAACCAGGCAACATCATGGGGGCTGAAAGTGACATCCATCTGTGAGCACCCTTTGGCTCCTGGAGACTCCCCATCATGTTTTAATAGCCTCTACATTGAGAATAGGGATCAAGTGAATAAATCACCCCCTTTTTCTGAAGGATGCAAACCACTCTACAGTTGAGAGGGATTGGCATGAGAAGGGAGCGAAGAATTTGGGGTCAAATTATGGGTTGTTTTACAGTGGGGGTTACCCCTTCTGGTACCTCTGGTTCCATAGGGAGTGAATTTATGCCTTCTATCGAATCAGCCTAAGCTGACACCTGGGGCCAGGATTACTAGTTGAATAGGTAGGTATTTAAAGCTTTAAAAAGGCAAAGTAAAATACTGGCTTTGCAACCAAATGATTCAACAAAACGAAAAGGCGGTTGGACCAGGAGGTTTTGTCTTTACCTGGGAATGTTATCCCAACCACTGATTTCCCCTTTTCTACTCTTACCTCTCCCCATCCCCTATGCCAAATCCCTCCCCCTAAAAACCAAACAAACAACAACAACAAATCTGATTTCAACTGGATGCCAACTCCAGGACAGAATAGCAACTTTTTCATGGAAACAGGAGTCAGTAACAGCCAAAGTATAGTTATCAGTCTATAAGCTTACTTACTCCTTACTTATTCCCTTACTCCTCACTGTTCAAAGATTCCCTGTGATGTTTGAGATCCTGTATTTGAATGAAGAGAATTATAATCAGTGGTCTCTTGGAATCATCTGAACCAGCTCATGAGAGTCAATTGTTAAATTTTCAATGTGAGCATTTATTTCTTTTTATTGGCAAATGCTGTCAATCAGGACTTGATTTGTTATTCGTTGACTGTCTATACTTAAGAAAGTGATGAAGGAAATATTAATAGTGCAGATTCAACTTAAAATACATGATGAATACACACATACATTTTGAAGAGGTCAGTTGTTAAGCATTTACCAACTCACCCCTGGTTATAAACATCATTACCAGGGACAACAATTACTGTTACCACATGAGGTTCTATTGTGTAATAGATGGTGTCCTCAAATCGCTTGAGGGGAAGACAGATTCTATATAGCTTCAGGGGGGAAATTTAGGCTTGATATGAGGGGAGGGAAGAGAAAGAGTAAGGGAATATGTATTTTATAGGGCACCTACCATGTGCCAGGCATGGTGCTAAGCACTTTACAAGTATTATCTCATTTGGTCCTCACATCAACCCTGGGAGGTAGGTACTATTATTATCCCTATTTAACAGGAAACTGAGGCAAACAGTGATTAAGTGACTTGCCCAGAGTAACACAGCTAGTAAGTATCTGAGGCTTTGAACTCAGGGCTTCTTTTTTTTTTTAAATTTTTAAGCAATTGGTGTTAAGTGACTTGCCCAGGGTCACACAGCTAGTAAGTGTCAAGTGTTTGGTCTGAGGCAGGATTTTAACTCAGGTCCTCCTGACTTCAAGGCCAGTTCTCTATGCACTGTGCCAGCTAGCTGTCCCAAACTCAGGGTTTCCTGACCCCAGACCAAGCATTTCTATCTACTGCCCCACCTGACTATGAGGAGAAAACCTCAGTTAGAGCTGTCCAATGTATCTGGTAATAGGTTGAGCCTATCCCTAGAGCTCTTTAAGTGAAAGCTGAATGAATGACCTGTTGTCAAGAATACAATTGAGGGGTGTTAGGCCAGATGGCTTCTGACATCTTTTCCAGGCTAGAAGATTCAGTGAACTTGATTTTGTGATACCTGACCCATTGGTTTAAGTTCTGGATTCCATGTAAGGGCATGACTGCTAAGTGAAAGAGTACTGGAGAGCACTGTAATCAGAACTTCTAACTTCACATCTAAGGTCAACTGCTTACTGTGTGTACTTGAGCGATGGCAACAACCTCTTTGTGCTCATCTGTACAATGACTTGGAAGGTTCTTTTTGACTCTCACCCTCTATGATTCTATGAGATAGTCCAGTGGTTAGCAAACTGTTTGCCAATGGCCAAATCTTACTAAGATTCTTAGGCTGAGGACAATTAAAAAAGAGGCAGCCCCAGATTTGGTCCCATGGCAGGACTTTGCTTAGTCTCCCCTAGTTCCCCCCATGCAAAGAATTTTATTAGCCTTCAGGTCCAGCCACCTGTGGGGCATGGCTAAGAATAATAATGAAAAGTGAGAAGAAAAGGAAAAATGAAAAGGGAGATGAAAAGATCTGCCCTGAGTTTGCACAGGTAGTTATCAACAGAGTTTAGATGTGAACCCAGGACCTCTGGTTCCAAACCTAGGTACTCTCTTGTACTATATCTGGTACATTACCCATCAGGTTGGATGTGAAATAATTTCTCCCAAATGTCCTCAAATTTCAGATCCATCCTTCAGATCTTGAGTTGGAGCAGCACAGAGTTAGAGGCTAAGGGCAATCAAGGGATATGGTAGATTCTCTCATTGATAACCTGTATTACCTTGGACAAGTCCATTAACCTCTCTGAGCCTGTTTCCTTATGGGTTAAATGGGAATAATAATAATAAAACTAGCCCTATCCACCAAACATGGTTGTTGTGAATAGATAATGAGAAATAATATGTGAAAATATGGTGAACAGTCATGCATAACAGGAATAGGGGATAAGGACTACTCCTATTATCTTATTGGTTTATGGAACTCACAAGGGGAAGGGCCCTCTCTACCCACATAGATCAGCACTTTCTCTTCAACTTAAAGCCTTTAGAGAGTTGCCAAAAGCAACAAGAAGTTAAATGGTGTATCCAGGATCACACAATCCATATGTGTCAGAGATGAGACATGAACCTAGGTCTTCCTGTCTCTGAGGCCAGCACTCCATCCACTTATGTCATGTTGTCTCTATAATCTTATTAATAATACTTATTTTAATATAAAACTCATTTCTAGACCATCAAAGCTTAATATCCACCATTTACTTTATTGGATTACCCAACTAACACAGACCTTTTGATTGTCCCTTATAAAATTACTGGGTCTCCATCTTTGAATTTAAATGCATAGGACCTTGATGAGGTGCCATCATTTTGCAAACCAAATTAAGGAAACACTCAATATCTATATTAAATAAAAGCAGCCGAATTGTTACCCCTTTGAAATTTCAGAAATGGGGTTTGTACTTCATTATGTTAGAACTGTTAAAAAGAAAGAATTTTTTGTTTTCAAAATAAAAAAATGGGGAAAGGACCTACTTGTACAAAAATACTTATAGCAGCTCTTTTTGTGGTTACAAAGAATTGGAAATTGAGGAGTTGCCCATCAACTAGGAAATGGTTAAACAAACAGTGGTATATGATTGTAATGGAATATTATTGTGCTATAAGAAATGACAATCAGGATGATTTCAGAAAAAAACCTGAAAAGACTTACATGACCTGGTGCAAAGTGAAGTGAACAGAACCAGGAGAATGTTATACATTGTGAAGACAATCTTGTATAATGAAGGATTGTGAATGACTTAGCTGTTCTCAGCCATACAATGATCCAAGACAATCCCAAAGGACTTAAGATGATGCATACCATCTGCCTCCAGAGAAAGAGCTGATATTGTTTGAATACAAACTGAAGCATGCTATTTTTCACTTCTTTTCATTCTTTTTCTTTTATTAGAGTCTTCTTGTACAAAATGACTAACATGGAAATGTTTGATGTGACTGCACATGTATAACCTATATCTGATTGTTTACCATCTCAGGGAGGGGATATGGGAGAGAGGAGGGATAAAATTTGGAACTCAAAATTAAAAAAAAACCCAAAAGTTTTAACAGGAATTTGGGGGAAAATTGTACCCACCCCCCACATATATATGAAAGGATTTAAAAAAAAACATTTCCTCATATCATCTTGAGGTCACATGGCATAGTAGATAGAAAACTGGTTTTGGAGTCAGGATGTTCAGACTTCACTTCTGATACATACTGGCTGTGGAACCCTGGGGTCATTCTCCAGTGTTCCAGCCTAGCAGTGTCAAATTCAAATAGAAATAGAGACAACCAATCTATCCATAACTCTCGCTGCTGGTCACATATTGGCTTAGTTGTAAAATGTAGCATCATCTATGTTTTGTGTATTTTCATTTATTTTGCTAAATATTTCCTAATTATATCTCTGGTTCAGGCCACATTGGAGATAGAGTATTATGGGCTGTACTCTGGGTGTGTTTGATACTCTACTCTTGATAACTTTCTTAAGGCTATATATGAGTTGTACTGGCAGTAGTGACCTACATTCATAGAAGGAGTTTCCTCATCTGGGAATTCCCTGTATTAGTGAAATCACAGGTCTATCCCACATGCCTAAGCCTTATGATAACAGAATACAGCTGTGAGGTAATAGCTTGTCTCTGGTGATTAGGCACTGTAAAAACTGGCACTGAGCTCTGTTAGTCCCCGGAGTAGGTTTAGAAGGAAAGAGGAAATGCCTTCTGTAGCTATCTGAGCCATTTCAAATGAGGTTACATCAAACACGTTGACAAGGAAGCAACCGTGGGTCAGTTGGTATGTATAGAAGAGGTATCTGCTTGGAGGTTTCTCTTTCTTGTGAAAGTCTCCCCACAATTATTACTATTGGCAGCCCAACACTGTGGTAGAAGGTTTATTCCGAATGGAGTGCTTTTGGGCAGAATCTTTTCAGAGTGAAGAACTGGCAAGATTCTAGGCAGAAAAACATTCAAGAAGTACTACACAACATGAAGAAAATAGTCCCAAAGTCTTAAAAAAATGGGATGTTTTCAGCTGTGCGTCAAAGGAGCTTCCAAAGAAGGCAAAAGGGGATCATTCATTCAACTAATGTTTGACAGTTTGCCAGTACAAAGCATTCTGCTGGGTGGGTTGTACAATGGAGTATGTGACAAGGTTCTTGGAAAAGAGCTTTCAGTCTAGTTGGGAAGATAAGACTTAAACAAGTGAAAAAAAATATCCAACAGCTATCACAAGACAGCACATGATTAATTGCTAGATGAGCGGTATAAACAATATCCTATGAGCCCAGAAAGGGCAGAATGACTGTAAGCTGGAGCCCATCTGGGAAGGCTTCATAGGGAAGCAGAAACTCACCCGGTTCTTGAAGGATGTTGATAGATTTATGGAGGGTATTCAAGGTGGAGGAAATGGTAGTAAAGACTTCTGCAAGGAATGTTTGGGGAACCATGAGTAGAACAACTTGGTTGGAATGATAGATTCCTATAAGGAAGTGATGGAAGATAGAACTTTATTTGGGCCCAGAATGTAAAGGGGTTTGAATGACAGGCTGGGTTCTTTAATCAAGGATAACTTCATTGACTATTCCAGACCACAATGATCTTTCTCAATTCTTGATGACTATTTTTGCCATTTTGCCATATAATTTAGGATTTGATTTTATATTGCTTTGCATCTTTTTGGATCATTTGTATGTACCTTTAATAATGTGGAGTAAGTTGAAAGCTCCTTGAGGGCAGTGACTATATCATATTTCTCCCTATTCCTCTGTGTCACTTAGCACAGTGCTAGGCACATTGTGAGTAGTCAAAAAAGGACTTGGTTACTTGGTTGAATATAACGTGATAGAGATAGGTGCCGTCACAAAGTGGATAGAGAGCCAGCCTTGAATCCAAGAAGATCTGGGTTCAGGTCCCATCTCTAAGACATAATGACTTTGGGACTCCAGGCAAGTCACAACTTCTGAGTGTCCCAGTCAATTCTCTAAGATTATAAGTTGCAGAGAAGGTGCTGACCTGCAAAGGTAGAAGGAGGTTCCTCCCCTAGTAGTTCCCTACACCAATAGGATAACAGATCCTGTCCCTAACCCTTTACTTTCCTCTACTTTATTTTTTATTTAATTTTTAATTTATGGATTAAAATAAGCATTTCTATAACATAGTATAATAAAAAAAGTGATTGCACATGAAACTGCAAATCTATTATGTACAACTTGCTATTCTTTTAAAATATATAATAAAGTTATCATGTAAATTTCCTTTTTTTCTTCCCTCCCCTTCCCCTATCCTACCTTAGAGATGGCTACCATTACACACACACACACACACACACACACACACACACACACACACACACACGTGTGCATGTGCAGAATTATTTCATACTTCTATTTATCAGTTCTTTCTCTGGATGCAGATATCATCTTTCTTCAAATGTCCTTTATTTTTAATTTACGTATTTATAATAGTCAAAATGACTTAGTCACTCCAAGTTGTTCTTAAAACAATATTGCTGGTACTGTTTACAATGTTCTCTTGGTTCTGCTCATTTCACTCTTCACCAGCCCTTTTCTTGTATAGCAGTATATCTAGGAAGCTGGGAAGGAGGGAATACATAAAGAAAGTCCAAGAAATGGGGAAGCTAGCTTTATCCTCTTCATATGACTAATGGTTAGTGATGATCATCACCCCACCAAACTATTTAGAACTTTATGAACTTTGTGCACCATAAATCCCTTGCAACCACCCCTAGGAATTTTGTACCTATTTTGAGGAACATTGGTATTAGTCATGTTTCATATACTACATTTTTCTTCTACTTAATACAGTGTCTCTTCAAGTGGTGGGTGGATCAATAAATGGCTATTTTTTTCTACTGATGACTCTTAAGAATATCCAGATTTTTATGAATTTCAAGTAAAACCAGCCTCTGGCTTTTCTGAAAGGTGATCTGGCTGCAAACTTTATCAAGTTCTCAGCATTTAATGAGAAATCTGCTTCCCAGAACTTTTAGGGTCCCCTGGCTTATCCTGCTTTTTGGAATTTCCACTTGTCTATTTCCAACCTAATCTCTAGTAGGAAATTGACCAGGACCTTTGGAAGGTAGTTGACCCAAAACAAGAGCACCACAAAATCAACATTGTTGGCCCTGTTGTTTGCTTTGGTTTAAAGAGTTACTGGGATAGTATAATAACCTTTTGTTTTGCTGGGCTTTTCTTCCTGGTAAATAGTTGTTTTTATCCAGATATTTCACATGTGACAGGTCCAGCAGGAGCTTAAAATAGAACTGGCTCCCAAATTTCTGAATCAGCTGGAGTAGCAGTAAAGGCATAAGTGTCATAGGTCTAAATTCCATGCTAGAAAAACAACTATTGGATAATGTTCAGATTGCTTAACCACCCTCTGTCCAGGTCTTTCATCCCTGTGGCTCCTGGGGCCACTTCTCATACTGCTGGGCCTTCAACGACACTAACCCTTTTGTCCTACTTTTGTCTCCAAATGTAAGCTCTACTTGAGTCAACAATGCAACATGGAAGCCAAATAAGCTAATGGACTCTTGGGCTGCATTGCAAGGCATAGTGCCCAGACTACAGGAGGCAACAACCCAGCCATACCCTGTACTGGTCAGACAACATCTGCAAATTTCTGTGGTTCTGGATTGTACATTTTAACAAGGGAATTGACAAGCTGGAGCATGATTAGAAGGGCATGAAAAGGATGATTTGAGGGCTGAAGAACATACCGTAGAAAACTCAACTGAACATTGGTTAGCCAGGAGTAACCTAGCAAAAACCTAGGGGGAGAGGACACCATATATGTTTTTTTTTTATTAAAGTATTTGAAGGGATATTGCAGGAAAGAGCCCAAAATGAAGAATTAGGAGTAATGGATGGAAGTTAAAGAGAGGTGGTTTTAGGCTTCTTGTATGGGAAAATTTTGTAAATAATAAAGCTAATTCAAAAGTGGAGTGGGCTACTTTGGGAGGTAAGGGAAGACCTTTTGTCAGGTATGCTATAAAGAGCAGAGTCCTTTTTTCCCCTTTTTTTTGGGTATAGGTTGGACTAGAAGACCCCTGAAGTCTCTTCTTTTGTTATATTCATATATTGCTCAACTCTGTGACTGATCCTGTCTCCATACTCAAAGAGATTCATGATCTCATCAATTTGGATTTTCCTTCTAGTAGCCCAAACTACAACCTAACCTATGTGACTCTTGTCCATCTTCTCCTATAAATCTGTCTATCCATATTGGTGGAGACCTTCCTGCTTTTTGCTGACATCACAGAGATATACTAGTGAAGTCCTCTGACTATCCATTGTCATTCTAAACCTTAAGTTCCTTAGCCAAACCTTCCTAATCTATAATAATTGTTTAAATTAGCATAGTGCTTTATACCTTACAAAAGCACTTTTACAGACACTGTCTCATTTGACCCCATAATAAGCCTATGAGGGAGGGTGGGGCAATTAAACTCCCATTTTACAGACCAAGAAATAGGTTTAGAGAAGTTCAGTGATTTTTTTTCCTGTTACACAGCTAGAAAATAGCCAAGCAAGCACTCAAATTTAAGTGTTTGATTCCTGGTCCAGTGGACTTTCCATTATTTCATGCCACCTCTTATGACCCACAATCAATATGGCATGCATGTGAGTTATTTTGCAGCTGCAATAGATTTAAGCTGACCTATCAGCACTCTCTTGCCCGGTGTCCCACTACAACCCAGGGCATCTGGCTGGGGTTAGTAGTTTAGTCTGTGGCTAAGGAAGGAAACAAAACTTGTGGAGGAGGAGGGGGAGAGAGAATGAAATCCATGACCGTGACCATATGAGCATGGCACTCTGATCCATGCAACCAGCCAGCTTGCTCCAGCAAAACGAAGTTGAGAAACCTCCCTTTTCTCATAAAAGTGCCTATCACATTCACGTACAAACATGTGCTATTTTCTTCCTTTAAAATGTTTCCCAGATTTTCCCCTTTGTCTTCATTCCTCAGGGCTGCCATCCTAGTACAGACCCTTAGCTCTTCACGTCTGAAGGATTGCATTTATGTAGCTGCATTCTTGCCCCACTTCCATCCATCCTGCAGGTTTCTGCCAACTAATCTGCTTCCTTCCCTCCCTCCCTCCTTCCTTCTTTCCCTCCCTCCCTTCCCCCTTCCTCCTTCCTCCTCTCATTTTTTCCCTTCTTCCTTCCTTCCTTCCTTCCTTCCTTCCTTCCTTCCTTCCTTCCTTCCTTCCTTCCTTCCTTCCTTCCTTCCTTCCTTCCTTCCTTCCTCTCTGCCTCCTCCAGAAGCTCATAGTCAATTGATCTCTCTCTCTCATCTACATCTCTCTCATCACTCTTTCTCTATTTATGTTATCTATCTTTAGCATCTTCAAATGCTTGTAGTAGGTGCTCAATAAATATTTATTTATTGATTAAGTTTTAGCCTTTGTTCAGAAAGAAGAAAAAGATTTAAAAACATTAAATGATTACATAGGCTGCTTCTTGATTTGGGTCTGTTATGAGTGTGTAATGTAATAAAAAGGTAGCATATGCAAAAGATGTCACCCAGAGCTGATACTTAAATGGTTTTCATCCCTTCCTCCCACACCAAGAAAGCCACTACATTTCACCTTAGATTACATAACTTCCACAGAGCAGGCCAGGCAACTCCATTCTGGTTAACATATGTTTATTAGGGGCTTTTATGTTCAAGATACTGTGCCACATGCTGGACATATCAAGATAAAAATGAAAAATGATCCTGGCCCTTGAGATGTTTCTATTCAGGGATGTGCAGGTAAATGTTTAATAATGTGTTCTTCAAAAAGCATGACACCCTTTTAAGTTTATTCTACATCATTAACATTTTCTTCATCACTTTGTTAAGTCTGGACAATCAGCAGGACAATAAGTCAAGCCCTCATTTGTTGCATTTGCCAATTTCTGAAAATACATACACAGAAAATTTAACAACTCGCTCCAGAGACCTGGTTAGAGCTGGCCCCAGTACACCTCTGTTTGTATGCTACTGGAGGAGACAACATGTTCCCAGATAAGCAAATATGAGGTAATTTGAGGAGTGAAAGTACTAACAACCAGGCTGATCAGTGAAGGCTTGAGAGAGGAAGTATCACTCCAGCTGAGTCCTAATATGGGGTAAATGTAGAGAAGCTATAACAAAGCAGTGACCACAGGATGTCAGATGTGTGTGGGGGGGGGGATGGGAAGGGAGACCTGCTCACCCAGGAGACTCCGAGGTGATGGATTTCTGCATCCAGAAACACTGAGAAGATGACCCAAGAATTGAATAAATTTCAAAATAGAGTCCATGACCTGATTTGACCCTGAGTTGCCAATTATGCAAGCAGTGGGAAGTACAGAACAGCCATTGGAAAGGCCAAATGAGACCTCCAAGGAAGAGAAGCCAATCCCCAGCTCTTCCTGGGGAGCAGCCAAACCTTAAGCAGTCATGGAATGAAGTCAGAGAAAGTCCCTGAAAAGAAGCTAAATTTATTTGGATGTCTGTGACCCTGAAGGGCAGGAACTTGAGGAGAAATGGACAAATGGGGAACAACTGGGTACAGCGTGCTTATCAGGGAGAACTGGGCAGGGTGGAAAGTCCATACCCAAGACTGGTAAGGAGTCACTAACTAAAAATTAGTCTGACGTTGAAGTAGAGACTGAGACGTGCCACTTCTGCAGGTCTCTAATCACAGCTTCAAGATGTGCTCTGGTGAGTTGGAGAAAGTACAGAAGAGTAACCTACTCAACTTGGCTTAGGTTACTTTTTAAAAAAAATCTTATTTTCCCCCCAATTACATGTAAAAACAATTTTTAACATTCTTTTTTTCTTTTTTTAAAATTTTGAGCTCCAAATTCTCTTCCTCCTTCCTTTCCTTTCCATCTCCTTGAGATGGCAAGCAATTTGATACAGGTTATACATGTGCAATCATACAAAATATATTTCCATGTTGGTCATACTGTGAAAGAAAACATAGACCAAAAAGCCATGAAAAAAATAAAGTGAAAAAGAGTATATTTCAATCTGCACTGAGATTCTGTCAGTTCTTTCTATGGAGGTGAACAGCATTTTTAATCATGAACCCGTTGGAATTGTCTTGGATCTTTGCATTGCTGAGAATAGCTAAGTTATTCACAGTTGATCATCATATAATATTGCTGTTACTGTGTACAATGTTCTCCTCCTCTCATTCTCTCTCACTCTGTCATCAGTTCATGTGAGTCTTTCCAGGCTTTTCTGAATGCATCCTACTTGTCATTTCTTACAGCACAATAATGTTGCATTATAACCACATATCACCACTTGTTCAGCCATTTCCTAGTTGATGGGCATCTCCTTGATTTCCAATTCTTTGTAACCACAAAAAAGAGCTGCTATAAATATTTTTGTACAAATAGATCCTTTTCCTTTTCCTTTTTTTTTTCCTTTTCAGATCTCTTTGGGATGCATACCTGGTAGTGATATTGCTGGTCAAAGGGGTTTACAGATTTACAGCCCTTTGGGCAGAGTTCCAAATTGCAGAATAGTTGGATCAGTTCACAATTCCTCCAGCCTACTCAACTTTCAAAACATAAGAGGTCAGAAAACAAGCTTCTAGCTGTGAACTGAAGACAACAACTAGATTTCAATGGCAAGCAGACATAAAGACACAGAAAGACCAAATTTAAAGCCCTTTGTAACCTGACTCCGACCTACTTTTCCAGATCTATTTCACATTACTCTCAATCATGGACTCGCCCTATAAGAGCTTCCTTTCATTTCTTGCATCTGGGCCTTTCTCTCAGGCCATCTCCTATGGTTGGAAGGCTCTCCCTCTTTAGTTCTGCCTCTGGGAGTCTCTAGCTCCCTTCAAGGCTCAGCTCACGCACCACCTTCCTGAAACTTTTCCTGATCTTCCCCAGTTGCTAGTGCTCTCCCTTCTCCCCACATCCACTCCTGTTACTTGTTATATATTTCAGTTGCATGTTGTTATAGCTTCACCACAGAATGTAACCTTCCTGAGAGCAGAGACTGTTTCTATTTTGCCTTTGTATACTCCAGTGGTTAGCACAATGCCACGTATAAAGAAGACTTTAACAAATGGTTATTGAACTGAATTGAAGATGTGACATTAGGGCCCCTTTGGGCAAGTTGACTAAATACTACTGAATAGGTAAAGAGAGTATTGTGTTAGGTACTTAATCAGCCACTTTAAAAAAAAAATCCTTGCTAGCACAGAGCATAAAGTCTAGAAGTGAGACATGATACACAGCTAACTGCTTAGATTACATAGGATCATAGATTGTGACCTGCAAGGAAATCTAGAAGATATCTAGTCTAGCACCCTCATTTTACAGATGAAGAAACTGAGGCCCATAGGGGCTCAGTACCTTGCCATTGGTTATATAGGCGGCTGATGTGGGTCCTAAGCATGGGTCCTTGTCAAATCCACCATCCTTTCTGTCCTATCACATTTTCGTGTTAGGCCAACCACGGCCAACCATTGTTGGAAGTGCCACCTAGCAAAGCTTTCTAGGAACTAGATAAACCTACATTCCAATTTGCTTACATGTCACCAAGGAGATTCCCTCAGGATCTACTACATTCTATGTTTTTTATATTTGGATGAGTATAGCGGGAGCTGTCATCATCCCTGAACAGTAATTCCATTCAATCTGATGGTTGGTTATTAAATACATCTTAGTTTCAGCTCTATTTGAGGAAACAAACATGAATTCAATTCAGCTGCCTTCTGGACCTGGGACTACTGGTCACAGGGTCAAACATTACCTGGCCAACTTATCCATCTTTTCTTTAGGATTTCAGATCTTCCCCAAGGAATATTTCTCTGAGAGATTCAGTTCTCATTTAGCAACAGCCCCTAGGTGCTAACAATCAGGACAGGTGAAAGGTGT